TTGCATTCTACATACGTTTCTTCCCTTTTTTTACTTTCCTCCATTGAAATCATAGAAATGTAACTGAAAGCATGCTAATGAAAAAGTTTGTTGCATTTTTTTGTGTGTTACCATTGACTTCAAACAGGTTCTTCACCTTGTCTGAAAAAAATGAAAAGTCAGCAGTTACAAATACATGTAGCACCCTCCTAGTTTAGCTAGAGGGAGCTAGATCCCAATGGTTAGATAGGGGCGGAATAGCAGCTCAGGTGTAATAGCCAGATGGGTTAAATTGTGGTCAGGGCTAAGAGACTCTGCAGGCTAGCCCCTCTGGAATTGCCCCCTGCTCTGAGGCTTTTGGAGGAAGGCCTTGGAGCTATTGGGTGGATCTGAGGAGTCGCTGGCTACACTCTTAAGGGACCTCAGCCAATCCCCAACAGAAGGCTTGGCAAGGGGCTGGGACTCTGTTAAAAGTGTTGAAGCCTGCTGAGTAGCAGGAGAGGGAGGAGTGTGGTGTGTGGAGAGTTGAGAGGAAGACATGATCTGTGAGGAAGGAGGCTGCCAGGAGGCCTAGTTTGATGGGACCTGCCTGCAAGCCTAGGGCTGGAAGGGAGAAAAGCTTGGAACTCACTTGCCCCAGTAGAGAGGACCACCTGTATGGCAGGGAAGGAGCAGCCCAGCTGATAGGCCTGGTAGCAACAGCCAACCAACAAGCGGTCTGAGTGAGTACACCTGCACCCCCTGAGCAGATAGGGGAAGGAGCATTTTGATAGGAAACCAAATTAGCCCATACTAGTGACTGTTCACCCATTTAAAGGGACATGAACCAGATCCCCTGTTCAGGAAAAAAAAACCTCCAGATTGCTGGGTGAAGAGGAGAATTTCATCTGGGGTCTGGGATGGAACAAGAAGGAGATGCTGGCTAGCTCTCCAACAGAGACTGTGTTGCAAAAGAGAAGCTTGTGAATAGTTCCAGGAAGCGTGTCCTCAGTTGTTGGTTCCCTTGCACATCCTATACCCCCCCAACCCCCCTTAACCTATCCCAGTTCTAAATCCCCTTTATAAACAACAAAACAAAAGCTCAAGGACTGATTTCTGACTCGGAATGCAATCATGTGTGCAAAATTCAGATTGCCTGGCTATGCAGGACTATAGGGGACTTAAATCCTTAGTAACCCCCAAGGGGGTAGTGATACATACAGTAGTTTCTGACTGTTAATAAAAGGACATTTATCCGTCCAGGGACCCAGTGCTGTCCTCACTCGGTCCAGTAATTTGCCAGTCTGCAGGTACCCAGCACCGGCATGTTAACTGTGGGAACCCGGCAGTGACACCTTGTGGCTTCACAGCCGGCTTCCTACTGCACATGTGCAAGTCGCTCTGCGCCTTGTGAATGGTCTCACAGCCTTCTGGGACCTATGACATACTGTGTCCCAGAAGGCTGGGGACAGGGGAGAACTTTTGGTGGAATTGCCTAGGCAAAACCAGGTACCTGTCCCCCCTTAAAAAAAAGTTCCAAAAGAAAAAGGGAAGTGGGGGGGAGGGCATAAAGTGGAACCTCTCCTTTGAAGTTACGTTCTGCTTTAATGTAACTCATATTTTTCCAAAAGAGCATAAAATAATATAGCAAGCAAGTTTTTTAGAATTGCACAGCACTGTATTGCAACACAACCCATTGAGCTTCATAGATTACAATCCCTGCACTTTTGGGGCGTTGTGAACATGCATTTTAGCACAGTTACAATGCAATTGTGTGAATGGGCCCTACAATGTATATTGACTCTAAGTTCTTTCTGCATATGTTCTCTAAACTCTGGATGTAATTTAGCTTTAAATATAACAAGATACGCTGTCAGGTAACCATGGGTAAAAAATGGTTTAATTATGTTAACTGATTTAGGAAGCAAATTATTGGTAATTGAGGAAGAGCCCAGCTGGAGCTGAACAAAGCAATTAACAAGGAACTAAAGACGTGGTAAATATTTAGACATTTAGAAAGCAATTGATTTAAGCACCTGGGTGGACTGTCCACACTTTTGAAATAATCCTGTGAAAAATACATGGCTTCCATTGACCTCTTTCTAAAAATGCTCCAGCGTATGACCAATGAATTAAAGCCGTTCTAAAGGCTGAAGGTTTTTTATCTTCATGCATTCTCTGCATGAAGGTAAAAAACCTTTAGTATGCTGCTCTCCCCTCAGCCCTCCTAATACTTTCCTGAGCTCGATCTCAATCCAGCAATGTGCTCGAGAGCAGCAGCTCTCCCGGGTCTCTCCCTTCTCATTGGCTCAGACACAGCAGCGGGAACCATTGGCTTCTGCTGCTGTCAATTGCAGCCAGTGAAGAGGGAGAAGGGGCAGAGCTGAGCCATGGTCTGTGTGTCTTATAGACACAAAGAAGAGGCTGAGGGGGCACTGGGGGGGCTTCAGCAGGGGGGAGGAGCCAGGAGAACCTGCGGGGGACTCGAGAAGAGAGGTGGATCAGGGCTTGTGTGTGGAAAACCATTACACAGAGCAGGTAAGTATGACATGTTTGTTATATTTCAAACAAAAAAAAATCTGAACCTTTAGACCAAGTGTGCAGATCAGGAATGCTAGAGGCAAGTCAGAGGCAGTGGCGTTTGGAAACTATTTGGAAACTCGGGCACTGCCCGAGGGCCCGGGGTCAGTAGGGGATGCCCCTGAGATGCCCCTTGTACCTTTTTCATAGCTTTTTTGAGTTTGGGCAAGGACACAGGGGCCCCATGATCCCCTATTGCTCGGGGGCCCCATGAGTTGTCAGTCCACCCCTGGTCAGAGGACCTTATTGGCATACTTGTTTTGAGTTGGTTTTTCTAAATTTTCTATATACAATTCTTTTTTTTTTTTTTTAAATGGCAAATGTTAGGTTTTATATCCTAGTTAGTGAAATTTTCATGCACTTTCTGCCTTCACAGCCACATCCTGAAACACTGGATAAAAAATCCCACCTTTGACAGTTGTCACCAAAACAGGTGTCCCCATGGGAAGATATCCTCTCTACTCTTGTTTGGGTGACATTGGTAACAGTTTGGATACCTATCAATTTCTGCCCCTTTGACAGTTGTCACCAGGATAAATAGCGACGCTGAGCCTACACAGGTCTTCCTTTATTTACTTCTTAGGCAGAGACATTAAAGGATAACTAAACTCAAGAATGAAATGCAATACATTGCAGCTTACAGTCTATAGATGTGCTGGCTGCATCAGATTTATTATTTTTCAAGCTAAGAACATTTTCAGAAAATACAGAAAATACCTGTTGATCTTGCCTGAAATGCGGTGCCCTTGACACTTCTTGTGAACTGCACATTAGAATGTCTTCCTTCCTTGCTATCTTCTGTAAACTACCAATTGCTCTGCCCCCATGTAGTGGAGATAAGAGATACAGACATGGTGCAGCCCTATCAGGGTAGCTGTCTAGGGTGACAACTATAGCTCCCTCCATAGATACAGTGGAGGATTTGGTGGCCACACAGAAACAATAAGGCTGCTTTCATACTGAGGAGTTTTTGAAGTGCTTTTGTATTAAAAAAAGAGCCAGCAAAGCTGAAGAAAAATGCTTCCCTATGTATGTCTATGTATGTTTTCACACTGGTCCGTTGCGGTTCTGTGGCGGTGTAAAAAAATCCTTCTTGTCGTATTTTTGGGACATATTTGGTCAGTTATAAAAATGCACCACCCCACTGAAATGCATTGAAAACGTGCCAAAAATGCATCAAAAACCTGCGCTGCGTTTTTTGATGCGGGTTTTTGATTCAGATGCCCTGTGAAATTGCGGTAAAATTGCAACTACGGTAAAATCACAGCACAATTGCGGTAAAAATGCATTTGCTACAGATCAGTGCTCTAAGTGTGTAATTTATATTAGGGGTAACTCCACTTTCGTGAGAAAAAAAATTATTAAACAAACAAAAAAAAATAATATATTGCTATATGGATTGTGTACAGTGCGCCCCCAGAAATTGAATTCCTGCTGGTATGATTGGCTCACTGATTTTCCCAGAAGTCTGCACTAAGATAGAAGTCAGATTTTGGGCATCCCCTGCAACAAAAATGTAATTTTTGGTGAGGCACTCCCAAAGGGAAATCATGTCTAAAGGGATGCAGACCCTGCCACTTTCATCATTAGAGCCCTGCAGGTGCAGCAGCTGACTGATAGTTATAAAACCAATGCCATACAGAATCACTCTGCATATGGACACAGACAAACAAACTGCTATTTGTTCAGAATAACAAACAGTAGGAATCTGCAACAAAGTTTTTTAAAATCCTTGCAACGTACATAGATCACCCAGAGGGAAATGTTCTTTTCTCAACAAAAGTGGAGCTACTCTTTAAATCTAGTATATTAAAAAAAAATAAAAAATAAAATGGAACGTATACCTCTTCTATATCAATGTTATAGTTTAGGATTAATGTGTCTTTGTGTGATGTGTAGTGAAATAGTCATTACTTGTTTCATGATATAATAAATTGATGTAAGAGGGATTGCCTGTGCATCCTGAGCAAGCTGAAATGTCATGCTGGGTTTTCAGATTGTGACCAGTTTCAGCTTTTGAAAAGCAAAAGTCCTGGAAGATTATCTGCTATATACCACTGTGGGGTTTTTTTCCCTAGAAGGATAACTGATTGTAATGTCATTACAAATCCATTGCGCTTGCTGAGCCAGGCTTCTCAGAGATTAAATGGTGCTAATTAAGGCTCTGCTCTGCTAGCTGTGTCCCTGCTGAGTGCCAAGTGTGGTGTATAAGGTTCATTTAGGGATCATGGTTGTAGGAAATATGCTGCAGGGTACTGACTACTTTGGTCATAGACTGTAGAATTGCAGATACAAGGGGCGTTCAAGTCAAACCAGGACTTTTGAGTTTATATAATAAAAGAACAATTTCAAGAAGTGGAAACTGCATTTATTTTTTTAAATACTCCCCTGCTACATTTATACACTTACCCAGAGTTTTAAACACATGCTTATCGTGCTATAACTGAATGACTTCCTCCCAGAATGCGCCCTCCCATGCACACCCATCGATCTTCAGACACAGGTGATCACGTGATGAGGTAAAAGGCCAATCACAGCGGGCTTTTACCACATGATCAGCTGTGTCCAATAACACAGCAGATCACGGAGTAAATACAGTTGCCAATAACTGTCACAGAGCAGATCGGCACTGATCATCAGGGCACTGATGATAAGTGCCCTGCAGTGCTGCCCAGCAGTGCCACCCACCAGTGCCCAGTAGTGCCACCCACCAGTGCCCAGCAGTGCCACCCACCAGTGCCCATCTGTGCCCAGCAGTGCCACCCACCAGTGCCCACCAGTGCCCATCTGTGCCCTGCAGTGAAACCCATCAGTGCCCATCAGTGCCACCCATCAGTGCTGCCCATCAGTTGCTGCCAGTCAGTGCTGTCTGTTAGTTCCGCCCGTCAGTGCTCATCAGTGCTGCCTATCAGTGCCCATCAGTGCTGCCTATCAGTGCAGCCTCATCAACGCACATCAGGAGAAAAATTACCTGTTTGCAAAATGTTATAATGGAAACAAAGAAAAATGTTTTTTTTTGTTGCTCTTTTTTTGTTTATAGTGCAAAAAATAAAACACCCAGGGGCGTGTAAATCCCACCAAAAGAAAGCTCTATTTGTGTGAAAAAATTTATAAAAATTTCATATGGGTACAATGTTGACTGCGCAATTGTCATTCAAAGTGTGAGAGAGCGCTGAAAGCTGAAAATTGGTCTGGGCAGGAAGGGGGTAAAAGTGCCCAGTAGGCAGATGGTTAACTAATGCCTAGAAAATTTCATCATTGAAAGACTTGTCAGTACGCCTGATCCATCCTAGGACAGCTTGCTTCACTTCGTCATCATTGTGTTCACCGTTCCCACAGAAAGATTCGTCTCTTGTGCAATTTCATGTCAGGTTATGTGTCAGTTATCCAGGATCAGGAATTCAATGTGCTGAATGTTCACAGGAATGACTGCTGTGGGCTGGGAACCACCATGGTAAGGATCGTCAATGATGGACGTACGGCCATCTTTGAAACATTTTACACCATTCAAATGCCTTACTGCAGCTGAACATCTCATCACTGTACTGTGCTTGAAGTCTTCTGTTTAATGCCTTCGTTCACAAGAAACTTCATCAGCACACGCTGTTCCATGCATGCACTAACACTGTTGTCTGCCATGTTGATTAACAGTGTCTGGACTGTCCCAAGACATGTTCGCCGCCTATCAATATTAGGACACACTTGCACTTACCACTACATGTAGTACTGCCATGCTAGCATCCCTTTTTGTAACTGTAAAATTAAATGTCCCGGTTTGACTTGAATGCCCCTCGTACTAGAGCAGGTCACAAACCTTGAAGACCTGGAAAACTTGGTAATCAATGTCTATGGGTAGCTGAAAGCTAAACCCAAGAACAAAAATCTAATATATTAGAGCTTACTAGTCCTTAGATTGGCCGCTGCATAAGTTTCCTCTTTAAATGTTTTTTTTCCCATATTTTCACCTGGTAATCCTACCATTAGCACAATTTCTGTCCTAGGGTGACAACATTCATTCACTGTATTGTATCTATGGAGGAGTAGTGTTGTCACCATAGGCTGCTCTCCTGATTTGGACTACAATCTCCCCCTCTTCTTATCTCCATTACATAGAGACAGGGTGTTCTGTAGTTCACAGAAGATAGCTGGGAACTAAATAGTAGTTAGTACTTAGCTTGAAACAAGAAAATGAATGCAGCCAACACATCTAAGGCTCCTTTCAGATGGGACACCGCAAAGTGGATCCACCTGCTCTGTGGGGTATCTCTCCACTGATCCTCACTGATCACGTGGATGATAGGTCTGTGTCTGCTCCGCTATGCAGAGCGCATACAGACACAGCCCACTGTTCTCTATGGGCTGGTCGGATGGAAATGGAGCGCCTGCCTGTTTCCATCTGACTGTCATCCAATCCGATCTGCCGGATGGATAGGGAATAGATCCCCATTCGTCTGTTTTTAGCGTACAGGATCGGATCAGATGCCGATGGCTGTCAGTGGGCACATGTCTGCTGACACCCACCGCTCCATAGAAAGCTATGGATAGTCTGATCGAGTCGGCCTGAAAAACTGACAGGCGGACCTGATTGGACCATCAGTGTGAAAGGGGCCTAAGGGCTGGTAAGCTCCAAAATATTACATTTTTGTTCTTGTGTTTAGTTCTGGGTAGCGTCACAGCTTTCCTATAAGTTCCACCCCCACACATTGACCTAGCACTCTGATGGGCTTCCTCACTGCCACTAGAAATATATTGAAGGAGAGAGGGGATGGGTAAGTATCACCACTATCAGCAGGACCGGACTGGGACAAAAAATGGGCTCGGGCATTTTGGACTGAGCAGTCCAAAGCCCAGGAACCCTTTCCTCAGAGCCCAGTGGCGCAATGCCAGGGCCCGGTTGCAAGAGCGACGATTGCAACCTGGTAGTTCCACCACTAGTGTCAGTAGGTTTTTATTTTTATTTATTTTTTACAATTTTATAATTTTTTTAAAAAATTTTGTAGGAAGAAAGGAAGGAGGGAAAGAAAAGGGAAGGAAGGAAAGAAATAGGAAAGAAAGAAGGAGGGAAAAAAAAGAAACAGAAGACAGAGAGAGAAAGAAAGAGACATATAGAAGGAGGGAAAGAAAAAGGAAGGAGGGAAAGAAAGAAAGAAAGAAAGAAAGAAAGAAAGAAGTAGGAAAGAAAAAGAAAGGGGAAGGAGGCAAAGAAGGAAGGGAAACAGGAGACAAAGAGAGAAAGAAAGAGAGATGTATAGAAGGAGGGAAAGAAAGAAAGAGGGGAAGAAGGAGGGGGAAGAAGGAAAGGAGAGAAACAGGAGACAGAAAGAAAGAGAGACATATAGAAAGAGGTAAGGAAGGAGGGAAAGAAAGAAGGGAAACAGGAGACAGAGAGAGAGAGAAAGAAAGACGTATAGAAGGAGGGAAAGAAAGAGGGGGGAAGGAGGAGGGGAAAAAAAGAAAGAAAGAAAGAAAGAAATGAAAGAATGGAGGAAGGAAAGAATGAGGGGAAGAAAGAAAGGAGAAAAACAGGTGACAGAAAAAAGAGAGACATATATAAAGAAGTAAAGAAGGAGAAAAAAAAAAAAATAGAGAAAAAAAAACAAAGAAGGAGGGAAAGAAGGAAGGAAGGAAGGAGGAAAGGAAATAAAGAAAGAAGGAGGGAAAGAAGGAAAGAAAGAGGGAAAGAAGGAAGGGTGGGAAAGAAAGAAGGAAGAAGGGAAACAGGAGATAGGGAAAAGAGAAAGAAAGAGAGACATATAGAAGGAGGGAAAGAAAAAGAAGGAAGGAGGGAAAGAAGGAAGGAAGGGGGGAAAGAAGAAAGGAGGAAAACAGGAGACAGAGGGAGAGAGAGAAAGAAAAAAGGAGAGAAACAGGAAAAAGAAAGAAAGGAGAGAAACAGGAGACAGAGAGAGAGAGAAAGAAAGAAAAGGAGAGAAACAGGAGAACAGAGAGAGAGAGAAAAAGAAAGAAAGAAAAGAAGTATAAAAAAGAAAAGAGAGAAATAAAAAAAAAAAAGAAAAAGTAGGCAAGCAAGAAAGAAAGAAAGAAAGAAAAAGAAAGAAAGAAAGAAAGAGATAAGTAAAAAAAAAAAAAGAAAGAAAGAAAAGAAAAGAAAAGAAAGAAAGAGAGAAGAAAAAAAAAAGAAAGAAAGAAAAAGAGAGACATATAAAAAAAAGAAAGAAAGAGAGAAGTATAAAAAAAAAAGGAAGAAAGAAAGAAAGAGAAAGAAAAGAAAAAAGAAGAAAGTATATAAAAAAAAGAACAAAAGAGAGAAGTAAAAAAAAGAAAAGAAAGAGAGAAGTATAAAAAAAAAGAAAGAAAGAAAAAAGAAAGAGAAAGAAAGAAAAAAAAGAAAGAAAAAAGAGAAGTATAAAAAAAGAACGAAAGAGAGAAGTATAAAAAAAGAAAGAGAGAAGTATAAAAAAGAAAAGAGAAAGAAAAGAGAGAAAGAAAGAGAAAGAAAGAAAGAAAGAAAGAGAAAGAAAAGAAAAAGAAAGAGTAAAAAAAAGAAAGAGAGAGAAGTATAAAAAAAGAAAGAAAGAAAGAGAGAGTATAAAAAAGAAAGAAAGAGAGAAGTATAAAAAAGAGAGAAGTGAAAGAGAAAGAAAGAAAGAAAGAAAGAAAAGAAAGAAAGAAAGAAAAAGAGAGAAAAAATGAGAGAAACGGAAGACAGAAGAGAAAGAAAGCGAAAGAAATTACAGAAAGAAAGGAGAGAAATAGGAGACAGAGAGGAAGAAAGAGAAAGAAAAGAAAGAAAGAAAGAAAGAAAGAAAGAAAGAAAGAAAGAAAGAAAGAAAAAAGAAAAGAAAGAAAAAGAAAGAAAGAAAAAAAGTAAAAATAAAGAAAGAGAAAAAAAGAAAGCAAAAGAAAGAGAGAAAGAAAGAAAGAGAAAAAAAAGAAGAACGAAAGAGAGAAAGAACAAAATGAGAGAAACGGGAGACAGAGAGAAAGAAATGAGAGAAAGAAATGAGAGAAAGAAAGGAGAGAAAGAAAGAAAGGAGAGAAAGAAAGAAAGGAGAGAAATAGAAGATAGAGAGAGAGAAGAGAAGAAGTAGAAAGAAGAAAGAAAGAAAGAAAGAAAAAGAAAGAAAGAAAAAAAGAAAAAAGAAAGAAAGAGAGAAAGAAAGAAGAAAAAAAGAAAGAAAAAATGAGAGAAAAACGGGAGACAGAGAGAAAGAAAGGAGAGAAACAGGAGAAAAAAAGAAAGTAGAGAAACAGGAGACAGAGAAAGAAAGAGAGAAGTAAAGAAAGAAAGAAAGAAGGAAGAAGGGGGGAGAGAAGACACAAGGCTGGCGGGGAGTGTGGTCGGGGCAGACACAGGAGGAGAGGGCGGGAGGAGGAGGGACAGCTTTCTCTCTCCTCTCCTGTCTGTGGTGGGCAGGGAACTGTCAGCACTGGGGACAGGATTTGCTGACACATCCCCTGCAGTGCTCCAGGGGATGAAGGGGAGCAGGCTGCATGGAGGCATACAGGAGCCCAGGGCATGCAACCTGCAGGAGATGGATAGGAGATGTGGCCGGGCAGAACAAAGAGGAACCAAGAAATGCACAGTCCTCTATGTGCCACCCGGCCATCTCTCCTGTCCAGGTGGCCCCGGCCCACTAGGCAAATGCCCGGTGTACCCTATGGCCAGTGCGGGCCTGCCTATCAGGAAGTATTTGAGCTTTGCCCAAGCTTTTGCTGCAGCCTATTGCCTGCGGGTCTGATCGAGCAAAAATATACTGACAGGATGGATGAACAGAAGTTAATCAGTAGATCGACTTCTGCTCAACCACAGTGGCCACACATGGATAGAAATTTTGCCTGTTCCTGCTGAACAAATTTCTGTCCATGTATGGCCAGCTTTAGGGGCATATGCATACAGCAGTAAATACAACTTTTACTTAACATTTACTGGTGATGACTGTCATTTAAAACATGCATCTGG